CACAATCCAGGACCCCTTGGGAAATGTCAAAGAGACAGTTTTGGCCCAATCCGGCAGGCCAGGCTGAGGGACCACATGGTGCACCAATTCGTGCACTGGGCCTCTAGTGTTAAATAAAAAAGAAGGCTTCAGAGTGATTTTAGAAAGTTGAAATACAGGGGCAGAAAAGAATCAGCAGAGGACATACAATTTCTTGGGATTTGGGAGAGGGGCATTAAGCTACTAAGGTTTTGTTTCCTTACAGTCATATCAATGCATTCAACTCATTTATTCAACAGATATTTATTAGGCTTCATCTGGGGATTAGGGACCTTAAGGTAAGTCACCATCCCTGACTTCAAGGAACTTAGCTGGGGGGCAGGGGAGGCGGGGAGTTAGAGAGATAATGCTAATAAGGATCAGCACAGGCTGCTGAGGAAGCAGGGTGGGTGCCCAACCCTCCTGTTGAGTTCTGAAGACCTGTACGGAGGAAGGGAAAGTTGGAGGCTTCCTAAAGGGAGAATGGGAGCAGCTAATAGAGGGGTTGGGGACGCATTGTCCTCAAATGTCCAATAAGAAAGCATGTGAGTTCTGGGACTGGGTGAAGTTTCAAATGACCAGACTTGGAGAGGGAGTGTATGGGGCAGGGCTTGGTGGTGCAGCCGGCAGAGACAGCCGGGGCCCTGGTGCATCAGACCTTGGCAGAGACCCTGGAAACCATCTGAAAGCACCGGGGGCGATGTTGGTTTCTAGTAGGGAAATGGCATTGTTAGATATAAAATCAGAGACAAAGAGGACTAGCGGGAGAAACCAATGAGAGGAAAGACCAATTTGTATATTTTTAATGCCAAATTAAAACAAAACTATCGCAAAGAGTGAAACTCCAAGAGAAAATCTGTTGAACAAGCCGTCTTCCTTATCCATCTCTGAGAAAATGAGGACATGGTTTGGAACTTCCGGGCCAATTGAATTGAAGTGTTTTTGTATAGTTAGCTTAAATAACCAAATGATGAAATCCATCCTCCAAATTGTCAGCAGAGCAGCTGTTCAGAAAGCTCTTGTTAGTCATTGACCTTATGTTTAATATGATTTCCTAGAGCATGGACAGTCAGATTGAAAAAAGTACCACTTCAAAGCCCTCCCCACCTGGGCAAACTCCCCGCAATGCAAAAACCAAGGAAAAGAGAGTGGTGGGCAGAGTGCAAAAGCCCTTTCCTTCCTGCCCCCCAAATCTCCAGGGAAAAAGGAGAGATGAAAACACACCACAGGCACATCTTAGAGAAGAAAGTTCTGGGACTACCTACACCTCATCTCTTTCCTAATCGTAATGGAGGGGGTATAAGAAAATATTTATGACCTAAAAAATCCTCCTCTGTTTTTCAAGAACAACTAAGGCTTCTTGTCCAGTCTGTTTCCTTTCGGGAAAGTGACATCAAGCGTGACCTTTTATCTGACCTGGATTTATTGCTTATGTCACTGGTGGTGGGATGGGATATGATGAAGGATTAGGATGGAGAGTTGGGACAAACAGAGGGTAGATGTGGAGACTTATTCTTAGAATAAGGATCCAGCATATATAGTGATGAAAAGTTTTACCTTGAAAATAGAAAGTCATGTATACTTTTTAAAGAATGCTCTATCTTTAGGTATTATCTATCTATCTATCTATCTATCTATCTATCTATCTATCTATCACATATCTATCTATCTAACCATCTATCTATCTGCCTATCTATCTAACCATCCATCTATCTGTCTACCTATCTATCTGTCATCTCTATCTTCCTGTCCATTTATCATTTATATTCTGCCTATATAGTACTTGCCTGTACTTTGAAAAGTACACATGTAGGAGGATTAAAATAAAAACAAAGAAGTTTGCACATCATGTAGTGAAGGGGAGGGGATAATTGTACTAACAGCCTGGAAAAAGTAGTTCTGGCAATTGAATATTTAATTTAGCTTAAGCTTCTGGCAACCAAGGCAAATTAAACAACCGCTATAAAATATAAGTAGTTATTGTTGGTGAAAAGAAGTCCACTATTATATCAAAATGAGAAAATATCCCCTAGCACTAAATTCTAAAATCTTATTCATTTACATAAAAGAAAACCTGTAACAAAAAATACAGTGCTTTATACAGCAATTTTGCAGAAGATGCAGAAATGTTTTTCACTCGAGCTTTGTTATACGAATGTTGGATATAAAAGCAGCAGCCTTTAACAGAAAGGAACTGAAGACCATAACCTGCTTTATCCATTAGTCTTCTGAATAAAAAAAAAAATTTAAGACGACGCCAAAATAAAATGAAACAAAACAAAACAACAACAGCACCTGTCCAGCTCTAAATTTTTATAGTTCTATGGCTCATCAAGGTAGGATTTTATATGTAGCACTCTTAGGCTATAGTTCAGACTGTCACTTCTGAGTTAGGATTCTTTCAATTGTGAACAAACAAACCAACAAGAAAACACACACACAGAGAAATAGCAACCAAGAGTGCCTTGAGAAATTAAGAGAGGCACCTGGCTGGGTTGCTAAGTGGTTAGAGAGTTGGCCTGGACCAAAGCATCAAGGGGTTTAGTTCCTGGTCAAGGGCAGATACCTCAATTGCAGGTTCAATCCTTGGCCCTGGTTGGGGCTCGAGTGGGAGGCAACCAATTGATGTCTTTCTCATGTCGATCTCTCTCTCTCTTTCTTCCCTTTTTCCTCCTCTCCCTCGCTTCAACTACCTCTAAAAAAAATCAATGGAAAAAATATCCTCAGGTGAGGATTAAAAAAATAAAATGAGGGAATCTATTGGCACATGAAACTGAAAAATCTCTCAATATCCTAGTTTCAAGCGACAGTTTGACCCTAAAGTTTGCAGCATCACTAGGGCTCTGACTCCTTTGCTGTTTTCCTTGACCTCCATCCTCTTTGCTCTGTTATCTTTTCCTTCTGGTTAGCCTTTTTCACAACAGCAAACACTTCTGTTGCAGGTCCTGGGTTCCTCACATTTCAAATCCTATGCTTTTAAAATCAGAGGAAGGAAAACAAAATCTTCTCCAAATACTGAAGTGAAGTTTAAACAATTAGCATCAGTTGAGAAACTGATGTCAAAATATTATGTTGAGTAAATTAAGCCAGATACAAAAGAATAGATAATTTAATATGATTTTCTAGAACAGGGAAAAATTAATCAACCATGATAGAAATCAAAACAGGGGTGCCTTTAGGAGAGGGAAATTGACTGTACAGGGACACAGAGGAACTTTCTGGAGTGAGAGCAATGTTCTATATTTTGTTCTGGGTGGTGGTTCTACCAATGTATTCCTTTGTCAGAACTCATTGTACTGTAGACTTGTGATATATGCATTTCACACCCTTAGAAAAGAAAGCCCCGATACTAAGAGAACATGCTGGCTGATATAGGAGAAGTGACTGAAGTGGGCTGACATCTGAGCTGGGAGACGGGAGTCTGGCACAGTTGGCTTAGACACCGCTGAGAGGTGGCGGTCAAGTCCTGGATATATTTCTAATCGGGGCCCAACAAAATTAGCTGATTGAATGACTGTATTGTGAGAGAAAGAAAATCATAAAGGCTGACTCCTGGGTATTGGCTCTGGCATCTAAGTGAATAATGATACCGTTTACTAAGATGAGATAGAAGCAGTGACAATGGAGGTTTGAGTGAAGGTATAGGTGGGGAAATCAAGACTTTGGTTTTGAACTTGACATGTCTATCAGAAATGAACATGGAACTGTCAGGTAGGCAAGTGGGAGTCTAAGGGCGGAGTTTAAGGGCAGCTCCGGTGCAGATATAAATTTAAAGTTATGGGACCGGTGAAGACCTCCTGAGGAGAGAGGATAGGTAGGGAAGAGAAGAGGACAGAAGCTTGGGACAGGCTGAGATTTTCCAGAGGAGCTAAGATTGTGTAGGCATGAGGAGTTTCTAGGAGCAGCAATGAGGAGCAAGAAGGGTTCTATCCTTCCTGCGGACTGTGTACGATATAGCAGGTGGGGAAGATATGGCCACTTCTTAAGAGGACTGCAGGGGATAAGTGTGATTGGGGACTCAGCCAAGTTTGTCATCAGCAAAATCCTTTAGATCCTAAAAGCCTTTTTCTAAACAGTTCTTTGATCTTCTTGCTCTAACAAAAAGTTAGCTGTCCTCAGAACATCAAGGCAGGGTTCAGTTAGAACAAGATACTCCAGGGAATGTTCAAAGAAATTGAGGAGATAGAGAAGTTAGGAAGTTAAAGAGATTGGGTAATGAGGGATGACCTAGCAGCTTTGGATGTCTGGTGGTAGAAGCACATTGAGACTAGCTTTGAGGGCCTTTTAGGGGCACATGAGCATTTAATCCTAATTGGGGCTTTCTCTTAGCACCTCAGCAATTTGTGGTGATGAGTCAAAGAGTATGACCTCTAAAAACTGAGTCCCGTGGGCCTTCTTTAAATGCCCTTGGACAGGTAGTCTCACCAGGAACCTGGGCCAACTTCCGTCACATCCCTGAACCAATCACTGTGGCCAGGAAAATGGGACTACAAAGACTAGGGATGCCTGAAAGTCAGGAAGGGATGTGGGCTTGTGTTTGTGTGTGTGTGTGTGTGCCTGAGCACTGGGGCTAACAGAAGAGGTTGCTGAGAGCTCTCAAGAGACAAGAGAAGATGGTTACTGACCAGCCAAACCCAGCTCATCTTCATCAGAGCCCCTCCCCCAGCAACCAGCAAACATAGTACAGATGGCAGAGCAACTTGAATGGATGGATCCATATAAACATGTCCTCACTCTAGGAAAATGACAGGAAGCATTACCTTTAATGATGGAAAAAATCGTATGATTTGACTGGCAGTGTTGTATTCTAATTGGATCAAAGAGGAAATTGTTTTGTAAGTTTAAGCACTTATCCATTGCAAAGTCCAGAACATCTAATAGTGTGTTATCTCATTTTTGCTAATAATTGTCTTCAAATATAATTGCTCATAAGTACATGGGTCAATTTATAAAACACTTCTTTTTTTTCCCCCCACAGGAAGAAATGAAAAGATTGCAGAATCCTTTAGAACAAGTTAATGATGGAAAATATTTACTTGAAAAGTAAGTTAAAAAATACTTCTCACCACCACCCTGGAAATTCAGTTATTTGCAAGCTTGAAAAGCTTGTATGAAAAAAAGAAACACTACCTGGCAAGGCAAAAATAAATAAGTAATTTGGCAGTTCCTTATGGTATAATTGTGGTCAGGACCCAGAAATGTGTCTCATTTGAGATATAGTTAGATAGATTCATGACTAGTTGAGCTATGATACACAAGCTATATTGATTAACAGTAATATGATGCCTGCAGATATCTCTGGTGGTATGTTTGAGGGCTTGAAACTTAACCCTGCCCTGTCTTTGGCTTTAAATCAGGGATGTGTATAGAAGCCAATCATAAATTTGTAAAAAAGTACACAGTTTACACTAAAACTAATAAAATGAACAAAGTAATGCCGCAGAATGGAACAAAACTGAGCTGAAAAGAAAGCAAGAAAGAGTTGAAATTAAACGGAGATAAAAATATAGTCTTCCATTTAGGCTTTTTAAAAATTATGCAATTAGAGCATGTGAAAGATATTCTGATTTCAGTTTGGGGGTAAATATTTAGAGATTTTTATCTGATGTTAACATGAGACCGTGATTTTATGTGGCTTCTAAAAAAAATTACCACAATATTAAACTGTTTAGTAGTCATGCAGTGTCAAGATAAAAGAAGAAAAATTAGCTATCATTTATTGAATTTTTACAGCGTACTCTCTATTAGTGCTTATAGATACTTCCTCATGGAACTCTGATGATAGCCCTGTGATATAGGCATTGTTATTTCCATTTTACAGACCAGGAAAAGAGGCTCAGAGAGCTTTCAGCACTTGTGTAAGTATGCTCAGCTGAGTGGTGAGGAAGGATGGGAATCAAACCCTGGTCTGAATGCCACCAGAGCCTCTGCTCTCAACCACTCGCTACGTCTGAATGTCAAGCCCGTGTGAGTGTCACTCTTGGCTCTGGGCACCACATTTTAAAGGCACAGTTTATTTATTTATTTTTCTTAATCATCACCCAAGGATATTTTTCCACTGGTTTTTAGAAAGAGTGGAAAGGCAGAGACAGAGAAACATCGATTGGTTGCCTCCCGCTAACGCCCCAACCAGGGCCTGGATCTAGTCTGCAACCAAGGTAGGTGCCCTTGACCAGAATCAAATCTGGGATCTTTCAGTCCAAGGGCCGTCGTTCTGTCTACTGAGCTAAACTGGCTAGGGTTAAAGGCATATTTTAAAGGCACACCCCCAAGAGTACCAGAGGAGGGCAATTAAAATTTATAGGATTCTGAAATCACGTGAAACTACTACAAAGGGCTGAGGATGTGAGGCTGGAGAAAATAAATCTCAGAGGAGACATAATGGCTATCCTTAAATATTTGAAGGGATTTTCCTTTAGAAGAAGGGCTAAATTGCTCTTTTTACTCTAGGAAGAAAATGAGAATCAATGAGAAGGGTTTATGGAGAAATAGTTTGTGACTCAGAAAAAGGATAGCTTTTGTGAAAACCCAGCCTGCCCAACAGAAAGGACTTCTCCATTAAAGAGTGAGCACATAGACACTGGAAGGGCCCAGGAGAGCGTAAATGACCATGCATCTGAGATGCTGTGGACAACATTCCTGAAAATGGAAAACCTTGGGCTTCATTTCTCTTTCTGCTTTTTCCTAGCTTTGCGGGTTGGGAAAAATCACTTAACCACCCTGAGGCCCACTCTCCCCATCTTTAAAAATGAAGATAATAACAGTGGCTTGACAGTCTACCGAGAGCATTAATGGAGACACGTATGACAAGCATGACAAGTGTGTCTTCAATGTCAGCCCCTTCCCTTTCCATCTGGGGGCGGGGGTTTTTTGGGCTAGATAGTTTCTCAGGTTTATTCCATTTTCGTGACTCTAAGGATTTTCTGTCCCCACTTGAAGGACAGCTTAAGCCCTTTGATCAAACCAAGTTTCTGCGTTACCTATGGATTTACTTTATCCTCGTTATGTCTGTTCTCATTAATATGCATAAACAAGAGTAACAGTTCAATTATTCTACCCCTTCTCACCACCACTATCATTAGCTCTATGTAAGCAATTGCAACTGGAGAGCTTTATGCTGACCTACAAATAAGATTTTTCTTCAGTGGAGATTAGTGTTGTAATGACATGATCAGTGGTCCTTCACCCTGGCTGCACTTAGAATCACCCAGGGAGTTTAATAAAAATGTCCTGCATAAGCCCCACCCAGACAAATTGAATTTGAATCTCTGGGGGTGAGGTCCAGAGATCAGTATTTCTTAAAAGCTTCCTGTGTGTGAGTCTAATAAGGAGCTAGGGTTGAGAACCAGTGGTCTAGATGCATTTTAGAATCCGTTTGGCCATTCAATACTCGCGTGCAGCCTAATTCTCTGAGGACACACTTGCTCTGTGCTTTTCAGCCCATTAATCTATTAAATCTGGCTATGCTGGCTTTTCATTATTGATTTCAATGTAAGAAGTGAGCTCCGAAAGTTTTTTCCTGTTAATTGACCACAGCTCTATATTCAACCTCTCACCCACACCCCCACACCGGCACATACCTTCCCCATCCCACTGTTCTCAGGAAGATACGTGGAATATATGTGGGCTTCTGCCTCCTCCTCGCTCCCCTGTTCTTTCGTTTCATGATCTAGAGGCCTGCAAAAGCTAAAAGCTTCTGGAAATGGCCAGCCTGCTTTGCATGCTTGCCTTCTCCAATCATGATTGAGGAATTCGAGGGGTGGGAGTTAAAGCTACTCCCAAAGCACGCAGGCCTTTGGGGTAAGTAAGCTTCCCTTCCCTACTTGTCCAGGACAGAGGGAAGACAAACAGTGGCTGCCTGCCCTAACAACTAGACCCATTTGCCTAGAATTCTGGAGACTTTTCTGGTCTGCTTTTAGGGCAGGGCTGTGTCCTTGAAAGCTGTCAGATTTGATTGAAAAATTGGTGTACTTTGAGTGAGCCGATTAAGCATTTCATTAAAGCTGTAGCTGACTTAGGTGCTGATGTAAATCATCTCAGCTACTTGAAATGACCGTAAGTTAAGTGAGAGCGGTGTCATAGCACTTGATGGGTTATTCCCCCTTGGAACATTACATTTATTCTGAATGCTCAACAGGGTTTTGTGGTAGGCAGTCCGTTTGAAGGGAGGGGAAGCTGTAACTCCATTCTGCTTGAGACCACGTATAGGGCCAATTGAGTGTATTTGTGTACATGCACGCGCACGCACACACACACACACACACACACACACACACACACTTTGAAGGCAACAGAGAAGAGCAATTGACTAGGAGACTGCTTATGACTCTATTGTTTTTTATAATCATTCCTTAACTTATGTAGGACCTAAGGCTGACAGCTATTTTTTTTTTTTATAAATATTGGATTGGGCTGGGTCTTTGGTATGAAATGTGTGATTGCAAGTTGTATATTCTCCTGACATATAATCATGTCATCACCCACAGGCAATTATTGATACCATGCCCTAACGTTATCTAATTTAAGCCCACAGGCATTTGTAGTTTATAGTGTGCTGAAGATGTATAAATAGTAACCGCAAATTAACAAATTTGTTAATATTATTAAAAAATGTTCTCTATGAAAATTTGGTTGCTACAGGCCCCCACAACACCTCACCTATATACCTCTATTGCTCAATTAAATAATTTGTTATTTGGGGGTTTAATTTACAAAATCTTAAAGTATCCTTGTTATAAGGCTGTTGTCCCTACAAGAACATAGAATTACAAAACTGAGACTTTATATGCCTGCCAACCGTTGATTAGGTCCCTTTAATAATGTCCATTGCATTTATAATTATGTAATATTCATCTTCTAGATTGTAAAACTCTAAGAACAGGGACCATGTCTAGTGCTTTCACGGTTGTGTCCCACATGCTTTACATCATTCCCGGCACAGAATATAGCCAACATATCTAAATGAGAGAATAAGGATGGAATATATAATGGACCCTGAACACCGACAGCACAGGGGTGCTTTTTTCCTTGCCCCTCAACTTCCCAGCTGGGTAATTACAAAGCTATCTTGGGCTGATGGAGCCACCTAGTGGCCATATGTGAATTTATCTGCTCTACCATATTTTCCCCATCACTTGCTTATTCCTTTCTCAGGAGGGGGAGATAAGTGCATTATCCTAATAATGCCTCCAGCACAATGTGTTTTTTTCTCATCTTTTTCTTTTCTTTACTATCACCATAATTGTGGTCCTCATTATCCGGCCAATTTGAATACCTTTCTAAATATATATATTTTTTATTCTCCTTGCTCAATGCCACTGCAAACCATCCTTAAATATCCATTCAGCATGTTGTCCTGGTTAAAATGCTATATGTTTTCCTGCAGCAATGATTTCACACTGCAGGTCACAAATTCATTGATGGTTTATTAAATCAATTTGATGGATAACCACTGACCTTAAAAAAATTTGAAATATAGTAAAAAAAAAAAAAATACCAGAGAACAACATATGTAGTTGGGGAAATAATGCTTCATTAAACGTTTGTTTCAGTTTTAAACGCGCACACCTTTACCACATGCATGTGTATTGGGTTGGGCTGTCAGATACTTTACTTATGAAAACCACAGTTAGTAGAATTATGTTTAATAAGTCTGATATTAAAATCCTCCAAGCAGTACTTTGTGGTAGTGAGACTTGAGTTTTAATGTGGTTCCTTCCAAGTTTAACTTAAACTCTCTGAACCTCAGATTTCTCAGCTGTACATTGGGGAAAATAATAATTGGTAGAGGCTACTGTGAGAATCAAATAATGCATGTAAAATGTCTATGACAGCTGTACACATTATGTGGCCAATCACTATTCGTTTCCTGCTTATCCAAACTTATTCCTTTTACACTCAACTTTTACCCTCCACTTCCATCAAATAGATATCTTTATGGTCTAACAATAGTCTGAATTTTTTACCTCTATGCCTTTATTTTAATGTCTTCCTCATATGTATTACCATTCACATAGAAATTTACCTAATTCCTATCCATTCTTCAAAACCCAGCTCAAGTGCCACCTTTTCTGCGAAGCCTTCCTTGACCATTGTAGCACCCAGTGATTGTCTTATACACTCATTAGGAGCAGTTACTGTCTACCTCTGCCTTTCTCCGGGGCAGAGATTCATGCGTTGAGCACAGTGGGGGAGCTTTGGAAAAACTTACAAGATAAAAAGGGGGAAGATTCGATGGCAGTGGCACCATTGGAGATGAATGAGATCCTCACTACAACTTACTAGTTAGACATTGCCATGGAATTTATAACGTTCTTTTTATCCCGCACACCCCCCCCCCCCCCGCAATGGTTCAGTATTCTTTTTTCTTCACTTAAGGGAAATGATTTTCATGCCTTAGATATGAATGTTGAACTGAGTGGTTGAAATAAAAAGAACAGAAAAGGTAACAGGAAAAACAACATTTTATTTCTATGGTATGGTTATTTATCCATCATCCATCAATAGGAATTTTTAGGACTCTGTTAATAAATTAAAATGAAAAAAAATTGAATATGTGTCTGCTTTTAAAAATAAATATAAATTGGCAGTATTACTGCTATAGATGTTACTTTTCTGGATTTAGCTATATTGAGACATTATTTCTGTTTGCAGTCACCAGTTGGCCATGGATATGGAGAATAATATTGAAAACTATCACCTCAATCTACAGCCCTTGGAATCAAAAGTGAAAATGTAAGTTATTTCAAAGTTTACATTAAAGCAACAGTGTTAAAGTTCTTGTTTTATTAATTTCTGAACTACTCTGGAGTTTTGTGGTGTAAGAATTACACATTTATTTATTTCACATTTATGTGTTACACATTATTTCCTCTCTGGTCTAAGCAGCAACAAAGCTGTTTGGGGCACACAGCAACATCTGCTGGATGGTGTAGGGCAGTGGTCGGCAAACTCATTAGTCAACAGAGCCAAATATCAACAGTACAACGATTGAAGTTTCTTTTGAGAGCCAGATTTTTTAAACTTAAACTATATAGGTAGGTACATTGTTATTAACTTAATTAGGGCACTCCTAAGCTGGCCTTTGCTAAAAACGTCCTCAATCTGATTGAGGTATGTTTGCTGAGGTTGACACCTTCCAACTCTCCCATCCACACTCGTCTTGTATACTTGTCTCACCTATCTCCTTTCCGAAAACCAACTTCTGAGGATGGGCCACGAAGTTTTCATCACACTATACATGCGCGCCCACACGTGGTATTTTGTGGAAGAGCCACACTCAAGAGGCCAAAGAGCCGCATGTGGCTTGCGAGCCACAGTTTGCCGACCACTGGTGTAGGGAATTACTTGATTGTCATCACTTCATTTCTTGGTTTTTCTCCTTCAGGCAGAGTACTGTTCTTCAACTTCCACTAGCATTTTCTACTTTCTTTCATCTTAGTGATCAAGATGGTTAATTCCATCTTGGAACAATGTGGTTATTTTTACCTCAGGGTGTTTCTTTTTTTAAAATATATACTTTTTTATTGATTTTAGAGAGGAAGGGAGAGGGATAGAGAGATAGAAACATCAATGATGAGAGAGAATCATTGATCGGCTGCCTCCTGCATGCCCCCCCACTGGGGATTGAGCCTGCAACCCAGGCATGTGCCCTTGGCCAGAATCGAACCTGGGACCCTTCAGTCCGCAGGCCGACGCTCTATCCACTGAGCCAAACTGGGGCCTCAGGGTGTTTCTTGATCATACACACACACCCTTTCAACTCTCTTCCTTCTTCCTATGTCCATTCCAGCTCTCATCTAAATATTTTGGAAAAATGTATCATGTCTTTCTCATTTTCTATCCTTTTATTTTTTACTAGGGGCCCGGTGCACAAAATTCGTGCATGGGGCCGGGGGAGTCCCCCTCAGCCCAATGTGCACCCTCTGTCACGTTTTGTGATCCCAGCCGCTCCGGGTCTAGGCATGGGCCTACAGGCTCCAGGTGGCCTGGCTCCTGAGGATGCCTGTCTCAGAGACACAGGCCTTTTGGCACCTGCGCGTGTGCAGCCATGGAGTGAATACCTCCGCCGGTGCCCATGAATGCACTGTAGTGGGGCAAGAGATTCCCCTGGCTTCCTTGCACACCACCCCGACCCAGACTCCGTGGCGTCAGCGCGTGCTGCCCTGACCCCGGCTCCCTGGTGCCTGCATGTGTGCCAGCCAGGCAGGAGCTTCCCCGGGGTCCATGCATGCCACCCCGCTCCCCCGGTGTCCCTGCGCGCCACCCCGCCCCCTGGCTCTTTGGCACACACACTTGGGCAGGAACTTCTCCAGCATCACCATGGCGACATGGGGGAAGCTCCCACCCCAACCCGGTCTCCCCGGCACCTGCGTGCATGGTGACACAGGGGAAGCTCCTGCCCCGGCTCCCCAGTGTCTGTGTGCGCCACCCCGACCCTGACTCCCCAGCGCCTGTGCCTGACCCTGACTCCCCAGCTTCCCCAGCATCTGCACACGCCACCGGTTCCCCGGTGCCCATACACACCACCCTGCTCCCGGCTCCCTGGCACCTGTGTGTATGCAAGTGGCCACAGGCCCCACCCCCAGCTGCCCGGTGCCTGTGTATGCAAATTAACCTTCCAGCTTTGTTGGGTTAATTTGCATACTCACTCCTCATTGGCTGGTGGGTGTGGCTGGTGGGCATCGTGGAGGGATGGTTAATTTGCATGGTTCTCTTTTATTATATAGGATTCTCTCTTACTAAGGCCAAATATTAGTCCCCTTTCCCCACTGTGTGTGACTATTGCATTAACTTTGCCAAAAAACACCTCAATATCAACAAAACTGGAACTAATAAGATACAAAGTGAGACAGGCATATTAAGGAACAAAATGACAACCTTTTAAAACCACTTCTAAGTAGAGAAGGGGCTGTCACAATCCCTTCAAAAGCAATTTTAAACTATTCACGCCTGTTCTCTGTGAGCCTTCCAATTCTGATTTTCCTTCGGGGGCGCATGTAAGAATTGTCACTGAGGGTGTGTATAATACACACACACACACATACATACACAGACTCAGCTTAATGCTCCAAGAAGCATGCTTCTGAGAAATGAAGTATACCGGCGCTTGGCCAGGATCACGGATCATTTGCAAAAAGCCCAGAGGAATCTTTACAGAAGAAGCTACCTGAAGAAGGGGGCCTTGCCGTGTACAATAAGCCATTGCTGGGTTTAGGAATGGAGACAGAAATGATGCAGATATATCATGTCCTGCTGGATGAAGGCAAATATTAACACACACCACTATAAATCTGGGTTAACCTTGGTTACAGTAAAAAGCTTGCCTCTGAGCGAGCACAGTGGGCTACCTCTCCAGGTGAAGTTCAAACATGGTTTCGGAACCCATGGGGTCCCCCCAGGAAGTTCTGTGTTACACTTACTCAATGAATAATGAATCAGGCTACCAAGTCATTCTCTGTAAGCAGTATGTCAGCCTCACTACACAAATGTTAGTTTCCAGCCATTGGCTGCTTTATCCTTAAGAGCTTTACTCTTGTAATAACATCCTCTTAAAGGAAAAGCTGGAAAGGAGAGTTGGCTGGCTCAGAAATTGGGATGTTTCATTTGAACATTGAAATGAATTAGGAAACCTCCCTGTTGTTTCTTAGCTTTCATCATCTCTAATATGTAGAGGCAGAGGGCCAGGTGCCAGGAGGAGGAACAGGCAAGGAAAATAAAATCTCTGTGTCTGAGAGTCTAGCCGACTCAGAAAGTCTGAGATTTTATGTGTAGCTGGTTTGATGGAGGAGTCTCAGCTCAGTGAGGTGCAAACGGAGTGGCTTTATCTCTTCTAATAACTCTGGACCCCATTTCCACTCACGGGAGGGGGATGCGGGAGAGAAAACTTGATCTTGCCCAATAATGGAATTCGAGTCCCATTGGAGAGTTTAGTCCAGTTCAGTGACTCTTGTCTAATCTGGTTATTAAATTCTTAACTGTCATGACAGGTTAAACATCTCCCCTTCACACACATCAGACTTTTCCTACAGCTGTGCAGCCTACTCCCCTCTCCCCCCTCTCCCTTTTCTAATCTCCCCATCTGCCTTCCTTCCTCTTCTCCTCCTGTCTTGATGTCATCTCACTCACCACTCATTTGCTAAACACCAAGGCATCCCCAGTCTTATCATTGATGGTGAACATTCGAGCTACCAGATAGTTGAAGCTACCAGACAGTTATTTTAAAACAACTCTGTGAGGTTATTTTATTGCTTGTGGGAAGGGCCATTGGATCCTTCCCACCCCACCCCCCACCCTCCCACCCCCCGAACTCCCCACCAATGGTGTAGGCTGTCTACCCCAGGATGACCTTGGCATCATCCACAGGGAGAATCTTGGCATACCTCTACCTATCCCCACTTTCCAAGAGATGTTCTTTAGACCTGCAGAGCATTGGGTGTGAAAGATGGGGCCTTGCCCCAGGTTGTCGAGTCACTGCCAAACGTCACAGGCTTTTTCTTAGGGTCTTCTCATTTCTGTTGGTAGGACCCAGCTGGACATCTGCTTTCCCCCAGGGGGTAGAGGGAAGTGATGTTACTATACCATAAAATCCGCTATCCTGGAAACTCTCCTCCCCCTTCCCTGATGAGGAGGAGCAAGTAGTAGGTTTCAATTAAGGTTTCTGGATAGTCTAGCCCCTGCAAGTCCTGAGATGGGATGTATGTTGGCAGGTCAATCTTTGAACGTAAAAGATTGCCGGGGTCCAGCCCCAGCGGGTCCAGGGGTTCCCAAAGGCGTGGACGGAGTCGGCGAAGAAGGAATGACACGGAGACAGCGTTCAGTTGATCAGCAGCCTCGCCAGGATCTCTAGCCAAGTTCTGGTCAGGATCTCCAGCGAAGTTCTGGTTAGGATCTCCAGCCAGGTTCTGTGTCCATGTTCTCTTGCTAGGTTCTCCAGCCAGGTTCTCCAGGTTCTCCAGCCAGGTTCTGTAGCCATGTTCCCTCACTAGGTTCTCTAGCCAGGTTCTGTCCAGGTTCTCCAGCCAGGTTCAGTCACCAGGTTCTAGTCAGGTTCTCTTGCCAATTTCTGTAGTCAGGTTCAGTCCAGGATCTTTTGCCATGTTCTCTCAATCTAAGTTCTGTGTTCTAAGTTCTGTGCCTCTTGGTTCTGTCTTCTAAGTTCTGTGTGTAGGTTCTGTCTTCTTAGTTCTGTGTTCTAAGTTCTGTGTCCTAAGTTCTGTGTCTTGCTGTCTTGTTATATCTGTATTTATACCAGTTGATTCAATCCTATCAATCTCTATTACAAAGGTTAGGGCGTTTCTTATCTCCATTCCAGGGAGTAAAGATTATGTAGCTTAAGCATGATTGTTCGTAGTTAAAGTGATTAATTACCCACCTGGCACTTAGTTAAGAGGTTTTATTCCCTCCCTAACTTCAGGGGAAAATCCCTACCTGGGGAAACAACCTTTCTCAGAGACCTTGGTTAAAACACATAGTGCCAAGAAAGTGAGCAAACATATTAAGAACAGTATGCCATATATGCCAGGTCCCTTGAAACAGCAAGCATGGACCGGCTCCCGGCAAAAGATAAAGCAAGATGAGAACTGTTCTCAGGTGTCGCTGCCTTTACTGTATAGTGCACTAGTGGAAACCCTGGATGGGGGTTGGATGGGTCAGGAAAGGGTCTCAGTTGTTTCCTCATATTCAGGACAGCATAAAAAGGAAATAATATGATTAAGAAAGGCTAAACCTACATG